GAGGTTCGTTTCTCCTACCTTTCTCTTCCATCCTTTGAATAGTTTATTCGCAAATAAATGAAAAGGAGAAAATACCTTTCCAATGATACCTCTTAAGTCTAAATCGGAAGAGTTTAGGTTCAGGTGTTCAAGTTTTTCTTATACCAATCTTTGAAAAATGTTAAAAACAGCATCATCATTATGATTCCGTTAAAATTATTTTTTATTATTTTTTTTTAAATATTTTTATGCAAATATTTTAAGCTTAAACCGTTGTGTCATTTGAGGATATTTTTTCAAAAAAAAAAACTTTAAGAAACTATTTTTATTCATAAAAAAAACATTTTTGGAGGTATTTTCAAATCGGTCCAGCTCACTTAAATCTTATATTTTTCCAAAATATTTTGGTGGACGTCTTAAAATATAGTAGATTTTATAATTCCAATGGAAAAATAGTACCGATTTTTTTTTATATGGGGCTGATGCAGTCTAATGAACATATATGTATTGTATATAAATGTAAGCTTGTGTTTTTACGTATATATGTACATACAATAAAAAAATCGTATAAACATCGAAAAATTGTGGAAAGTGTAAATAGGCAGGTGGCCAGCAGCTAGTGCCAGAGCAGCAATGTGGAAGGTGTCAACAATCACTTGAAATCCTGAAAATTGAGCTCCGTGTGCACAAGGTTTGGCCTCAACAGTGCACTTTTATGTATACACTCGTACTACACATATCGCTCATGTTACTTCAATAGTGTCATAATTCCAAACAATATAACTTTTGAGTATGTAGATTACCAGTACGTCACAGAATACAAAATATGTATTCGCTTTTACTATGGAAGTATATGTAAAATTCAAAACCTCAAATCCGTTTTTCTCGAGTATAGTTTTTTTGAGTTATGACACTATTGAAGTAAAGAGCGATATGTTTTCATTAGACAACGAACAGACACTCGTCATGTGCTTTGGACAGACTGTTTGCCACTTGCCACAAAAAGACCTGTAGTTGTTGGGGAAATATCAGCCAGTTAGGAGCCCAGTTGTGTAGCATTTTTACGCCAAGGCAAACTGGCGGTCTGATAGACTAGTTGACTTCAACCTCCACGTGTTGACTGTAGTTTAGCTGCACAGCAAGTCAAGGGATTGTTGCTGTCACCAACTCAGGCGTCAAAGAACAATATGACAATTACGAGCACAAACCAAATCTCAGGCATGATACGCAGTAATGGGATAGGGTATCGCATAGGGTCCAGGTAACTTTGCACAAACGCAACAGTGGGCAACTTGGCGTTGCACGTTTATTTAAATGGCTCTGCGAAGCTCATGTGCTCATATTTTTTATTTCCATATTTAATTTAGTCTTTTTCCGCTACTTTTAATTTGAAGTGCACTAGTAAAATGGCACATTGAAATAGCTAAGCAGACAAATGGCTGCGTTAGTTCTGATTGCGTTTGGTGCTTTTGCTCATTTCTCAAAATACGATTTATTGTTTGCTTGAATAAAAAATAACTAAGCACTTGATACTTTTTATGAACATCAGAAAGTTTAGCTCCAACATACTATTGTATTTTTAACAGTTCCTTGTGAGATACATAGTTATTTTATAACGCGAACCGAACACTGATTTTGGTAATAAAATTCAATGATTTGCAAGCGTTGCTCGTTAGTAAGTCTATTCATGATGAAATGTCAAAGCATACTGAGCATCTTTCTCTTTGACACCATGTCTGAAATCCCACGTGATCTGTCAAATACTAATGCATGAAAATCCTAACCTCAAAAAAATCACCCGTTATATGTATGGGCAAATCTAAAAAAAAACAGGTAACTTTTGTGTTATCTAGCTTTATTTTCATTGCTGTAAATTATTTCAAGCTGGTTGCTTTCGGATATAATTCATAGACGTATACTTGAAGCCTCAAAAAAAAAAACATTTTAATCCATTTATTTCATAACTTTTGAGTTGGTAATATTTTAATTCAACAAATATTAAAAACAAGTGATTTATTTGTGTAATTTTTAAGAGGTGAAAATTTTATTATGTCATAACTTTAAAGCACACCATATACTGGTTTGAAACTTCGTGTGCAATTAAGTAGTTCTTATGTGTACACTTCATATGTAGTTGGTAACTAAAGTGTGCTTTAAAAAATAACTAAATGGCAAGTAACTCAAATTGTGTAACTCTATTTTTCACAATTTTCAAAATTTTCAGTTTATTGCGTATAATTTTTGAAGCCTTTCATGTTAAAAACTTTTTAATTATGTATTGTATTCTGCAAACAATTACGAATAATTTGATAAGTACCTTAGAAAGAGGTGTGCTTTCAGAATAAACCAGCATTTAAATGTACATTTTGTTCTACGATATTGAGCGTAATTTTTATTCCCAAAACACCATAATTGAAGAGGCATTTGAAAAATACGTCAAAATAATCTAAATATTTTCGTAACTACTAGGTCTTATAACATTACATATACATGTAACACGCTTCAAATAAACTTCCACTAGAAGTGTGTAAACCCCTGATTTGCTATTTTAATGAGGATTCTTCTGGTGGTGAGAATATTTCGAGGAATAAATTCAACTTTTTTTAGGCAAAGGCTGTGATAGTTGCTCCTACTTAACTGAAGCCTTCTAAACTGAATGGCGTCCACAGTATTGCCAGATTGGCTCCACTTTTCGGAAAAGCTTGTAACTTTGCTTAAATTTTAACTATTTTATAAATAACTCCCTCAGTTTTAAGCTATTTTACTAAAATTTTGCACTTGACCGTTTTTTAATATTACCTTAAGTATTCCACAAAATCATCGAAATCGGTTCACTATAACATGTAAAGCCCTGCCTGATGTACGGATTTTTCTGCGGTACGGATTTGCAGGATCCAACGTACGGATTTTTAGCTTTCCGTCAAGATGTATGGATTCTCGGAGTGTTTTTTTTTCATATTGTATAAATTTTACTGTTTTACACAAACCTCTGTGGTTTCTTATAGTTCCCGAACCCCCCATTTTTTTATTTAAAAAGTCATTTTTTTCATACTTGAGTGACTTATCTATTAACAGCTTGATTATTTTTCACCCGATTTTAAAAAATCAAACATAAGAAGCAATTTATAGACCTTTTGTCGCACAAAATTAAAAAGAATTTGTTCGGTTTTGTGGTCCACCACTTTTTGTCTGTGTACGGATTTTAGACTCTAAACTTCTGGCAACCCTGAACGTGTAGCTCCCATACAACTGGTTGTTAAGAGACGTTGTTTTGCGTTAAAATTCCTCCAGTTAAGCAGGTAAGAAATTAAGTACTATTTTTATTCATCATAAACACTGTTAACTTTGTCTTTATGATGAAGCTAGAGGCCAAACCACTTTTTGAATGGCCAGTTGTATAAAAGTTGTTTGTAAAAGTGAGCCTATTTCGATGATTTTCAGAAGTAGTTAGGGAAATATTACCAAATATTTATGCGAAAAATTTTAGTAAAATAACTTCAAAACTGAGGAAGTTATTTATAAAATAGTTAAAATTTAATCAAATTTTCAAGTACTGTCATCTCGAAAACCAAAGCAAATCTGGTAAAACGGGGGATTCCCTTGAATTAAGAACGTTTCAATTAAGTGAGTTCAACTTTCAAAATTTTTTCTCAAATTTACAACATCTTCTCCTTATTATTTGGCGCTGTAACCGCCTAAGCGATTTTGGCCGTGCACTACAAAGCACGCCAGTCGTTTGTCTTCTGTGCCAACTGACGCCAACTGGAAATGTCAAGTGAAGCCAAGTCCTTCTCCACCTGGTCTTTCCATCGCAGTAGGGGCCGCTATGTGTACTAGGGTTTTTCGGGACGTCGTTATCACAAATCCGGGATATGTATATTCATTACTTTTCAACAACTTAAATCGAAAAAATTGCTTCTATATTGTTTGGGAAGCTCTTCTACACTAAAATAAATAATAAATAAAAGGGTTTCAAGCCTACTTTTTTTTTTAAAGTGGCGTTTTTATTTTTTCTCTCTGACGTCAGGATTTATTTTAAAGGACTTTGTAATTTAAAAATATGATTATTCCAAAAATTATTTAAAAAATTTAATGCAATGTAGAATAAAAATATGGTTACCAAATTCAAGAGGAAATTACTTTAGAATTTAAAAAAATTAAAACTTTTTGGATTCACAAGGACGAATAGGTAGTTTCTTAAGCTTATAATGTTAGTAGGATGGAGTTCGAGGAAGTTGTAGAGTTTATGTAAGTCCGTAACATATAATTTGTTCAACAACAAATATTTCGAAATTTCAAGGATAAAGTTTTAAAAGGACATTTTCAATACTCACCAGTCCTTCTGCAAATGTTGCCAATACTGGTCAAGGACAGGAGTTTCCATTATTGCCATCAGTGTTAATTACAAATCCCGAAAATCCTGGGGTTATTTGCCAAGAATCCCGGGATCCTGGCATTAACATTCCTAATGTGTACATTTTTAGCGCATAATTTCGAAAATTCCACATTTTAAGTTGTGCCTCTTTTGAAAACGGTGTGCGAATTGTCAATTCTAGCAACTATCTTGAAAGCTCTTTACTGTCTTTGGAAAGACTAATTGCAGGTCGTGCCGAAGAAAAATAAAGCAATGGGGATCCTTTCAAGAATGCATTACAAATCCGAAGTAAGAGGTCTTAAGAAAAAGCCACTTTTGATATTAGATTAGAACAAAACCAAAGGTGGTGTTGATAACATGGATAAATACTTAGCAGAATATTCAATCAAGCGGCGAAAGAATAGATATCCTTTACCATTATTTTATAATATTATGGATGTGGCTGCCTTTACTACGTATGTAGATACACAATTTACACTTGAAGGCCTCTACAAACAAACGAAGGATGTTCCTTCATCAACTTAGTGAGCATCTTCAGAAACCTGAAATGGAAGAAGGAGCTACTAATAGTCGAATAACCAGAATATTCTCTAGGCGCAACGTCATTGAAGCAATAAACGGTGATCCTTTGAGGATAATGGATGTTGCAGTAGGAGGCGACGAAAAACGTGACTGTACGGGCAGAATAAAAACAAAGGATAACTATTATATATATGTTCCAAACGACGCCAAACAATAAAAGCCTACATATTGTACAAATACCCGTTTTTGTTAGACATTCTACTAATTTACATGATATAGCAATTTGAAAACGCAAACCATACCCGGGTATGTTGCTGTTGACATAAAGGTTAAGCCATGTATGTCTGTCCGTCCGTCCATCCGTTCGTGTTCGCGATAACTTGAGTAAAAATTGAGATGAGTATGAGTATGAAGCTTGCCCTTTATCAACGGTAGATTTGGTATTGAAAATGGGACTATCCCCATATAAAAACTACGATATTTCAGTAAATATTGGATCCAAATTGCAGTGTACGAAAATAAACTATATTGTACGTTACTATTTCGTTTCGTTTATTACTTCAACAGTTCGGGACAATGCGAAAACAAAACGGCTGAGTTCACTTTGGCATTAGTACACTACAGTAGTTTAGTAGTTACAGACGAAACAACAAACGAAATGAATCGTGCAGAGAAAAATATATGTATGTATGTAGCACATGTTTTTTAATTGAACTGGATATGAAAATTTACAGAAAAAAATATTTTTCACGTAATTGAAACGTTTGCATACATATAAAACGTACCCTATGGCATGATAAAAGCATAGTAAGGTAAGATGCGTCGGCCATGATTTTTTTTTTTTTGAAGTTTGCCAACATTTTAAAATCGTATAAAATTGAGAGTAAAAAAAGGAATTTTTTAAAGTTGTTGTTGTTTGAGATTGAAAATAAAATGTGTGTGTGAGTAAAATTTTAAAATTAAATTGCTTGCAAACGTCAAGAATTTGAAAAATTCCTCTCAGCGGTTCTAACTTCCTATTTTGTAT